TCAGATGCAGAGAATCACAATCCAAGCAGCAAGATGTATTATTTATAAAGAACACACAGGAAGGTGGCACCTCTGGGCACTGAGCGGGTCGATCATTATAACTGTGTTTCGGGTCTTGCAGGGAAGACACAGAATGGCCAAGGGTTGGAAGGGGCCTTAAGGAGATTCAGAATGAGCAAGGATGCTCTGAGTCTGCACTGGGAAGCAAAGTGTCCTGAGCACAGGAGAAGTTTCCTCCCAGGGCTAGACAGATCTATTTTTCTCCCTGGCTTTCCCTCCTGAGAGACCCCACTCCACCAGTGCCCATCCAGGTGATACCAACTGGTTCCCTAAACACTGCCAGAGAAAAGCCACAACCTCCAGCTTTTCCCACAGCAAGTCCAGCAGAACAAACAGAGAAAAGCTGCAGATCCTTTAAAAATACAGTTTTCTCTCCCTGCTGCCATCCTTCCACCTGCCACTGGGAGAAAACTGATGCCATCACAACCTGGCTCAGCATCTCAGCACTACAACACATGCAGATGCAGCCACAAGAACATCAACCCCCCTGACTCTTCTGCAGTTACAAGTGGTGTGACCCATTTCTCCAAGGGAAAGACACCTCAGCACTTGGACAAGCTGTCACTGAGCAGACTCTGAAGGCACTGAAAGGCTTTTTTTTTTTTTTTCACACCCTGGTCACAGGTCTGCCTGTAAAGGTGAGCCTTGCACAAGAAGAAACCGGAGCACCCAGGAAATCACCTCCATTTTGTTACACCAGACCCAGGGTCACCTCCTTCAACCCAGCATTCCCAGGCACTATAAGTCCCCACAGGCAAACAGGGGCACAACCAACGAGGAGAGAAATTCAGTCTTACATAAAAAGCCAGCAGGTTATCTTGCCCACATGCTGTTTTAGTGCCTGCAAATGACTCCAGAGGACATAGACCAGAACCTTGCACAAGGTCAAGATCCACCTTGCATTACCAGATCAGCAGAGACAGCTCTGAACAGCAATGGAAGAGTCACTTTAAAGGCAGGCTCAGCAGTGGAGAGGGCAGGGAGAGGACAGCAGTAACTCCTGAGGGCCTAATTACCCAATTAAGGGATGCAAGGAGCTGTTTTCAAGCTGCACAGCAACCTCTGAAGGCAGCAGCTCACCCAGGGAACAGGGAGCTGGGAAGAACCACACACACTCCAGCACAGCCTCAAGGCCTCATGCCACCATACCACGGGGAGGTGAGAAAATGAGAAAAGGGTCGTTTCTGTGCCCCTGAGGACTATCCCCTGACCCAAAATACTGCATCTCTGCTGCTCCTGGCTGTCCAGGCCAGGGTGGCTGCAGAGCAGAGTGCCCAGCATCTCTCTAGGAAAGCAGTGAGGAAGAAATCACCTCCAGGAGGGGGGAGCTCTGGTTTCACTGCACACGCTTTCCACGGCCAGGAACCAACCCCAGCTGCTCTTCACTCCAGGGGACACCAGCTCACCCTGCCCCTTGCAGGGTACGGTGGGAACAGGGAGGGGACAAGGGCCAGGGAAGGCGCTGGGGGGCTGTGCGGGCCGGGGGCTGTGCGGGCCGGGGGCTGCCAGCCCCGCATCCCCCCGCCGGGAGGGTCAGCCCGGCAGCCATCCCAGCACACAGCAGGGCAGGGGATTTCTCATGCAAACCACGGTTGACACGCAGCAATGTGGCCCTCTCCTCCCC